CAAAAAGCGGTGTCCGAAAACTCTACAATGTCATCGGCACGGGCAGAATTGCTACCCCTACCAGACATGGGGCTGCCACGGCTCCCATGACGGCCTCTACCACGCTCTCGGCATGACATCTCCTGAAAAAACAAACATTATATTATATCATGAAAAAAGATAATGACAATTCGCGATTATATATGTACAACTGTGAAATAAGCATACAAAAGACAAGCTACTCATCAGAAGAATGATCAGATAACATCGGTTCATCTTCATCATTTGAATCATCATCTATGTCTTCAAATTCTGGTTCATCTTCGCTATCTTTGTTCGATTCGTCGCCACMWTCATCTTCATTTATATTATGGAGTATGTTTACCTCCCATGTGGCAAGACGAACATCATCGAGCTCGTTTCCTGATGAGAACGTTGTATGAGTTACCCTTTTGTTGACTTGAAAGAATTGTTCTCCATCCACACGATCATTGTTTTCAATATCGTTAATCATGTCGGACACTTCATATATACCACGAGCCTTTGTCTTGAAAACTGCCCACCAATCTTTCAAATCCTTTGTCGTCGAAGGATATGAAGTATAATATACGTGTTCTGCCTGTGATGCTAGAACGAACGGGTCGTCGGATCCAAGTCTAGACTTATATTTGATATCAACCAAATTGTGTTTAGGGTCAACTCTAACCCCCGAGGCAATATCAAACTAAGTGCATTTGAACATGACAACCACTTGTCGCACTGAGCCATAATACTCCACCTCTACAACTTCATCTAACATTCCATAGAAGTCAGACTCACATTCGTCATAGCAGGCCCCCCTTACACATATACCACTATTATGGGTAACTCGACCAGATCCATGGGTCACTGTATGGAACTTGTAACCATTCACAAAGTATCCCTGATGCATGGTGGCATAACGGCTTGGTCTGCGTGCTAGGGATTTTAATTGTTCATTTGAGTCGTTTAACTCGAACATGACCTATAAAAGAAGGCTACACGTAAGAAACACATAACGTACGTTATTATATTATGTATATTAATACTAATGACAAGTATATATATACTCACGTGGTGCGAGAACCAGTCAGCAAACCTCTCCTCCCGAATTCTATCAAGTTCAACATCATCAATATTCGGTTCAGTTTGTCGAATCTTTTCATCAAAGGTGGACTGGAAAGGTTGAACTTCTACACAGTTGCACAAGATATATCTATGGATAGTCTCCAGGTCATGTTCATTTAAGATTATATGTTTTCCACCATTCGCGAATAGTGGACGAGATGGAACCTTGAATATGYTTAATCGATCGTCGGTCTCCGAACAACTCGGGATATTCGGGGCAAAGTTCCTTGACTCACGATTATGTCTTGTTTCTATTGTTGGATCAAAATAGAGGGAGCAATAGTATTAATCTGTGAGGGATCAGCGAGGGATTTTGCCGAAGATTCCCTATTTTCTCATTTTTATGTGTTATATGTACATATTTTTATGTGTCGATGTCGTTTGTATGCATGTACATGTGTTGTTTGTGTGTGTGTGTATATATATATATATATATGTGTGTGTGTGTGTGTGTGTGTGTGTGTGTTGTGGTTGCTAACCGTGATATGTGAATGTGTTATAAGTATATATACCCATATAAATCATATAAATCTGCATATAACACACACACACACACACTGTCTATACATTCACATATACACATACGTTTAAACATATATTCATCCATCCAATCGTGGTTAACAACCAGTACACATCGTGTATACATGTATATATATAATTGACCGACTGGTATATATACATATAACACATACAACGTCGTGTAAACATATATGTATATAACATTGACCGACGGGTATATATACTTATAACACATGCATATATACCCGTTAGCTCGTGTTATATACATATGTTTACACGACGTTGTATGTGTTATATGTATATATACCCGTCGGTCAATGTTATATACACATATATACACGATGTGTACTGGTTGCTAACCACGATTGGACAGATGAATATATATTTAAAGGTACGTGTATATGTGAATGTATAGACAGTATGTGTGTGTGTGTCTTGTGTGTGTTAGATTTATATGATTTTATTGGCCTTAACCTATTTAACTGGGCTTTATTCGGTTTTATTGGGCCTTAATCTATTTACCGGGCTTCATTGAGTTTATCGGGCCTTAATGAACTTTATTTAGTTTTATTTGACTTTATTTGGTTTATTGGGCCTTAATGGGTTTTATTCGGTTTTATTGGGCTTAATCATCAGCTTTATTAATTAATTTTTGCAATAATCTAATAAATAATTATTAATAAATAATTTATAAGCAATTAAATTAGTAGTTATAAAATTAAAAAAATGGAAAAAATCATTTTCCCTCACGACGAGTATATATACTTATAACACATGCACATATCGCGGTTAGCAAACACAACATATATATATATATATATACACACACACACACAAACAACACATGACATGCATACATACGATATCAACACATAAAAATATGTACATATAACACATAAAAATGAGAAAATAAGAAAAAAAAACATTTTCCCTCGAGGGAATGTGAATTTTGCAAATTCCCTCGTTGCTCGCAGATTAGCAAGGGATCAGCGAGGAAATGAGTTTTTTTGGCATTTTCCTCGCAGATCCCTCACTGATCTGTGAGGGATCAACGACAGAATATTTCCCTCGCTGATACCTGGTTTTCTAGTAGTGAAATTATATGAAGGTTCAAATCCAAGGAGGAATAAAAATCCCCTTGTGGCCACAGAGGTTCAAATACGATGACTCCGGGCTATCCGCAAAGCAGGTGGTCACCCTGGGATTAGTCGGCTCGCATAGTGGGTTGAATATCCAAGTTAATAAAAAAAACACTATGAAGGTTGTCTTCACGGTGTTTTGCTGTAAAGCTTCAAGTGTAAAAAAATGGTCTCACAAAACAGTCTGGTCTCACATGATCCCAAGTCTATATACAAGGTTGAATTCATGTGAGATGATACTGTTTTCATGAGATCCGTGAGATTACATTTTTACATTTGAAACTTTACAGCAAAATATCGTGAAGGTAAAAAAAACTGAACCTTCACAACAAAAACATTGTGAAAGTTACTTTCACAGTGTTTCACTATAAAGTTTCAAGTATAAAAAGATGGTATTACAAATCTTATTAAAACATTATATATATATATATATGGGATTGGGAATGGTTGATGGCGGCACGTAAGTGTGGCCAAGTCGGATGATCCTATCTCATTGTAAACATGGAATTCTCAAGTTAGGCCGTGTGTACCAGTTTGGAATCCAATGTAATTTAAAACATCCAACTTGTGTCAAAAAGCGGTAGATGTGACGGTGGTCGACGGTATATCATAAAACCTCTGGTATCACTTCCTAAAACTACTCTCACTCAAAACCACTTCTCTCTTTCCATACCCATACCCATCTCCAACTCAAAATCTAGATAACTACCGTTCTTAATTGCATACACCAATAGGGACTTTACGATACCACTACTATACACTTTAACGTTAAGAACCTCCCTAAATTAACCCTACAAGAACCAATCATCGGACATGGTTGCTCGTAGTTAATTGTCTTTTGGTGTTCAAACAGGAAATTGTGAAATCTACAGCGGGACCATCCTCGTCATCGAATGGTATTCCACTATACAAGTTCATACCATACGAAACAAAAAATCAAAACATGATGAAAAGCAATACAATTCAATAATGGAAGTCATCTTTCGGTACCTCCCTTGCATAAAAGTAGAGCAAAAACAATGTGCCTTCTGGTTGATAACGACTAATGTTAGCAGAAAAACATGTCAAAACCCACAGCGCAATTAAAGGTAAATTGTTTGAAATATGAATTAACAATAAAATCTTGATTTACATGCAGCTGGTCTATTTATACCAATTACCACCTGCTACTTATAACAACAAACATCTATGTGTTATCTATCAASCGATTCTTAAACATGAACCCATCTCTATTTTATGTTTCCTTCATTCTCTTCATCATCACCAGCGGCATTGCATCCGCCACCCAAGATGCCGTAAAAGATGCTACCGGGAAAAAGGTCTTGAACGGTGTTCCCTACCACATTGGTCCAGTCACGGCGGCTAAAGGTGGCGGATTCAAGTTAACCAACACAATGCACAATAAGACAATATGTCCATTCGACGTGGTKCAGGATCCATCTGCATCTAACCTTGGTGATACTTTCATGTTCACTCTGATCACTGAAGGAGAGCGGCTCAAATATCTCCTCACAAACCACAATCTTGGTATTGATTCGGGGTTGCTAAAAGGTCCATGCGACAAGTCGACATTTTGGACGATCCCTGATGCTGAAGCAAAGGCACCTGAAAACTTGATWACAACTGGTGGGAGTTTYGAAGAGGATATTACATGTTTTCAGCTTGTRGAGTATCCAAAACCGACAAATCCAAAGGTGCACAGCTACATGCTTCAACACTGTCCCTATCATTGTGGAGGAGCTGTTTATGCTTGCTTTAACGTAAGCATTTACSTAGATAAGGGGGTCAGACGTTTGGCTTCCACGGGTACTCCTTTCGAGTTTGTGTTCCATAAGGTGCCCAATTAAGTGATATTAATCGGAGCTCAAAATATGTAAGGAATGTGTGGATTTTATTCCAATAAAAACAAGTTATGCTTGTACTCCAGAGATCAAATCCACTCTCTCTTTTTTACTATATAAAGTTTAAGCTTGCCTATAAGTCCATTAATGGTGTTCCATGGAACCAACATTGGCAGTTCTTTTGCTGTAATCGGGAAAAAGAGCAGTCTTAATTAAACCATCATCAAACCACATGTTTCAATCCATTCTGAATGGCTTTRTTTGATGTCTTTCTGGAGTTTGGGGACTAAACAGAACCCGAATGTGTTTTATTCGACATTCATTTAATCATAAGATTAGAAGACATTAAGTCCATGTCTTCTATTTTTACATGTAAATTAAACACAAGTATGCTCATATTATGCCTTCCTGAACTTAACCTTGAAAGGCACATCACTWATAGCTAGACGTCTGCTTCCATTTTCAGCAATTTTAACACCAATATCTCCACAAACAGGCTTGCAATAGTTGCACACGGTAGGGCAGAAGACAAGCTTATARTCRTTTTCATACTTTGCTATCTTGAACCAGTTGCTTATGGTTTCCCGACCAGGGTTTCCCCACACCCCATGACCGGACACGATCAGTTGTCCCTYRTACGCCTCGAGCATCCAAAYGTTAGACTGAAYACATGWTGTTGAAGCCGAGAAYATAATGTTAAGATCTGTGGATTCCCGAATGACGCCTTTCTTGAAGTTCACTGGTGCGAACTGCAATGGCAGACCGAACTTGAGCTCGAAGCCTTCTTGGACTACGTCAAGCGGGCATGACTCATTTCTCGTGGGAGCTAGTGTTACTCCACCACCCCTTCCTCGGAATACAGGCAAGATGTAGTAGTCTGTGCCAGATCGCAGCAAGTTCCC